GTATAGGATATTAAATCATAGTATAGCGACAAATCAGAATGAATTAATAATATTAAAAGCATTCCAGTCTGCAGATGAAATTATTCCGACAATACCAACTGAGTTGCCAATTTACTCTAAAGATCAACTTACAAGTAAACTGCTTAACTTTAAAAACCTTTCTAAACCAATTAATTCTTCATTTATTTCACCTGCAAAGCTGTCAAAAATTTTATGGTAAATATACACTTGTCATAATATGTTCAATTTGAATTGATAAAATTTCACTTTTAATTTTTTAGATTCTACTACGCTCGATTTTTCAATACAATATTTCTACGTGTATTTTTTTATTATACATAGCAGCCGCATAAAAATTCACGGTCTCGTGATGATCTGCGCTAAAATTTCATTGGCCAAAGCAAACCACAAATCGTCAACGCGTTTTTCTATAAAAAAAAATCAACTTTTGATTTTAGAGTAAGGGTGAGCATTAGTATAAGAGTATAAAAGGCAAGATATATAATATAGCCAAATTTTGCAAGGAATTTTTTGTTATGGTGCAGGACATCTAAAGACTGGGATTATGTGATTTGTTCTATTTTCAAAATTTTCATATTAAAATTTCAGTTATTATAAATCAAACCAGTGGTGTTTAACACCAGTAATATATGTAGGTCAAATCAATTTTTATTAAATTAAAAAATTAAACTTCTTTAATATTAGGTTTGTATTGAGGCTTGGGATGGGATAAGGATATAGTTTATACCAAAATTTTGCAAGGAATTTTTTTTAATTAGAACACAAAAAGTGGTTTTATAAGCAAAGTTATGAGTTATTAAAGTTTTTTTTAAAAAAAAACAAAATTTGTTTTGATTTTACATTACACCTGATCTTGACATTACATTGCAGATCAACAATTTTATTAGTTAAATTAATGTGGTGTTGAATATCACTGGTGTGATTTAGTAATACTATTAAAATTTAATGTCTTTTTTTTTTTTTGTAGTCAAAGTTAGCCTCTTTGGCTTATTAGATACTAGGATCATGTAGTGCCTTTTTCAAGAGGGCCTCAGACAAGTACATTCTGATGAAAGTACATTCTAAACTTTCATTATAATAATGGTTAATTTCTAATTTGTCTAAAAACTCTAGCTATACCTGCACCTTTTGAGCATCTAATTAAGTATCTACCTATTACTAAGTTTTATACTAGATATCGTATCTGTAATCCACTATTACTTGAGCTACCCAATTAAACCTTCTGATCTGAGTTTCCTATACTAATCCATCTAACCTTACTCAGAACATGCGATACATTAGTCAGTTCAATTTCTGAGATCATCACAAGTTCACCTCTAAGACTACCATTATTTAACTAATTCATTCTCGAGTGCATCACCTGCTAGAGCTGTCTGTTACCCACTTTTAATGTATAGCCTAGTCTTTTTCAGATAGATATTACAGAATAGGTTCTATACCTTTATAGGCAGACTACACCTCCAATCTCTACTGCAGATAGGTAGCCAGATAGACTCTAAACCTTTATATGCAGATCACACTGTCTAACTATCTAGCCTTTGTAAAGTTCACCCAAGCTCCAGTACCCTTCTTTTAAGACAACCCAGTATCTTTTCTTTCAGTATCTTCTAGCTGGTCTTCTCAGACTACTAATCAAGATGGCTCGAAAAGGATACCAGTCTTTTTTTGGTCGACCTGATGGCCTGGTTGGTAGAGTAACTTGCTGGTACTCTTGCCTCATCCAGTTTTTCAGCCTTGGGTAGAGCCTGTTTCAGTAAGCACTATCGAAAGCTTGTGCTACTGCTCTATTTAGATCTTGCTAAACAAGCTTCTCATAGCACCATTCATCAAATTAATACAATCTGAGGACTTATTATAAGTTTACGCCACCTTATCAGTTTTGTATTCTCTTTGTACAACTTGTATATTACACAAATGCCCGAGATCTCTCTTAGATTGACCCAATAGTGCAATAGATATTCTTTCTATATAAGGTATGACCGATGTTACAGGATCTTTTTCCCAATATATGAGAGAGTTGCTATTATACAAAAGAATTCAATTTTTCACTATTGGTGAGAATTGAACTCTAGATGTGCCGTTTGGAGAGTGACAATCCAACCACTTCACTAAGTTGTCACACTCCTTAATTTAATGTTTTTTTTAAATTCATGCATTTTGATTAGTTAAAAATTAATTGATAAAAAATATTTTAAAAATTAATTTTAAAATTAACTAATAAGAGTAAATTAAAATATATAGCTTGTTTTATTTTTGATTAAATTTGTACAAATTATATAAAAATATTATATTTTTTAAACTTTTTTTTTGTTAAAGTGACCTTTTTGCTATGCTGTTCTTTATTCAAATATAAGTAGTATTTTTAACTATTAAAACATTCTAATAGCTATACATATTTGTAGAGTACAACTAGCTATATCTGAGTCTTTTGAGCACCTATTTAAGTAGTCTGCCTATCACTAGGTTTTACACTAGATGCTGTACCTGCACCTCTCTAAAGAGTTATCCATTTAAAACTTCTGTGCCTATATACTAACCCTTTTATATCCAAGCAATAATACTTAGTACTACCTTATTTTTATATGCTGGCTTAGAGCTTTAAAGTAGTTTCAACTATTTTAAAAAGTCTTTTAACCTCAAGGTAAATCTGCTAAAGCTTTTTATACCCACATTTAGGCTAATTTAGGCTTCAGTAACTTATGCCTGGTCCAAAAACAAGTACTTGCATGCTGAAATTACTACTGTTACTTACTTCTGCTTTTAAAAAATGCCATTTATTACATAATTTTTACTATGGATACATAGTCCAGCTGAGTACTAGTAAAGTGATTAAATTACATATATATATATAATATATAATATAGTATATAATTAAATATATATATATTTTTTTTAGTATTAAGATGAAGCCTTGCTCATATCTTTATTAGTAATTTTAAGAATAATAACTATATGAGATATAGAAATACTACTATTTATACAAGTACAAATAAAAATAAAAATTATATGCAAAAATAGAAGCTTAGACATATTTATCTGCAATTTAAACCCACTAGAGAGATCAAAGACTCACCTAGATTTTTAAAGATAAAATAAAGTTCAAAGTAGTACTGTATTTAATCCAGTGTTTAAACCAAGTATCAATTTTTCTTTTGGCCAGACCTACAGGAGGGCAGGCACCTGAGGAAGAGTATAATTGGTCTGCTGTTTCATATAAGCAAGTTATATATAATAAATATGAGAGCATTGTTTCCTATTAATAGTTGATAATAAGTCTCTTGGTTTAAAATAGGAATACATTATTTGTTGTTGTTTTCTCCAATTAGAGAAGTTTATACAATAGGGTTTCCAAAGTTGTTTATATATTTGTTCGTTGACTTTTAGTAATAGTTCAATAATGATGTAGGATGCTTGTTTGTAAGATATTTGAAAATTTTGAACTATTTGAACTATGGAATTAGTAATTAGATCTTTAATTGTAAGTTCTAAATAATGTGATGAAGGCCATATTGCTAAAGCATTAAATGTTTCATAATGTTATATTTGGTGAATAAGTTCAGCTTTTTGGTTTATTGACAAATCCAATTCAATGAAGTTAATATAATTGTTAATAGCAGTATTGACTATATAATGAAGTTGTGCTGAATTAGAATAGCTGAGCCAATGTAGAGGTGAATCTAATACTCCATAATAGAAACAATTACTATTCTGAAAGATAGTAGGATAAAGAGTATGATGAAGTGAATAAGTAGGTAATTCATTTAATAAAGTTTTGATTTTAAATGATTTGAGTTGGTAGAGTTTAAAGTTTGTGATATTATAGATGAGTTTGTGGTTGTAATTAAAATATAATCAGATAGACCGCCAGTCAATTCTGTCATTAGCTTGGGACCATTGTTCATTGCATTGCTGAGATGACCATATTGCTAAAATATAGGCTTTATAAATAGTTTTATAAAAAGTTATGTAGATTGTTCAGTGAAGAATTTTCTTCTTTATATTGTAATATATGATATGAGTTATAGATATTTGTATAATTAAAATCAAGATATGGAGTAACAATGTGTTGTTTAGCAAGGGAGTCTGCTAAATTGTTAAAGGTATTGTCTGCATAGGCTTGAACTTTATGAAAAGTTACTTTTAGTAAATAGGATTTTATGATATTAAGAAGTGTATACTATAATAGCCAAGCATTAAATTTAAGAAGTTTGTTTGGGTTGGAAGTAGAGGATATAAGTTTGTAGTATTTGGCAATAATAGATTGAGAATCTGTATAAATATTGATTGCAGAATTATAAGAAGTAGTAGAAATTGCTGATAGAATAGCAAAGAGTTCTGCCTTATAAAAGGATGGCCAGAATTTAATTTGAGCATTAAATTGATAGATCATTTGATAATTATTATTAACTTGAACTTAGCCAATACCCATAGTGCACTAATCAGTATCAATATTAATAACAGATTTATTAGTATAGAAGTTAAATAAATTAGAGTTCAAGATGTTAATTGATATTTCTTCAAGTTTGTTTCTCAATTCTCTAGGATGAAAAATTGAGGTTACAATTGAGTCTGTTATTGGAATAGTAGGTAGTGTTGGTAAATTTGAATCTGGTAGTGGGTATTTAATAGCTATAGAAAAGATAAGATCCATATAATTAGCATTAAATCTGAGCTAATTGTTAAATATTCTGTCAAAGAATTTGGCAGATGTAACAGTAAATATTTTTAAAGTGCAAGCTGAATCTAGTAATAGATCTAGAAAAATATTCTGCTTTAAATATAGACAGAAAGAACATTTTGCAAAAAACTGTCCTAACCCAAAATGATTTGCTAAATATCTATACCAAGACCAAAATTATAAAAACAAAAGTGACAAAAGATATAACAACCAGAATAAAGAAAAATACTAATATCAAAAACAACATTACCATCAGATTATTAATAAACTCAGAGATAATATTAAAATCTTAAAAATAAAAATGAATAACCTATATATAATAAAGATAATAACAGATTTAGAAAACCTAGACCAGAGTCTTCGAAACAACTGTTTACCAAAAAAGAAGAAAAGCCTTATATTAAAAAAGAAGAAAATTCACAACAACCCTTTAAATCTAAATGCAAATACATTTGAAGAAACTATAAAGAAAAACTATTATATCAAGAATCAAAAGAACCTATCAAGTTTAGTAACCCAAATAATGTAGAATATAATCCACATATACTAAAACAATTTAACCTAAGAAACAAGAATATAGACAAGAGGATAAATACCAAGAAGAGATTTGCAAAAGAACCTGCGAACTTAAATTACTTGAAAAACTCTATAAGAAATTTGAAAATAAAGAAATTTATAATCTAGAACAGGACTCAGAATATGAACAGTACCTAGAATTATGTAATTCTTACTAAGAACTATTCCACTTAGAAGAAAATGAATCTACTTCTAATGATGAGTTAGAAGAAAAATTTGAAAAGATCAATTTATCAGAACAGTATTTCTAAATAGAAGCCTGTGTGATACTCAGAACTCACTTCTAATACAACCAATAGACTATATCACAAAGTTTAATCAAAATACTTCAAATGAAGATAATACAAATTTATATAATAAAATATATTAT